TCCACAGTGGAGAGAGTCCAGGCCAAGTGGAGGCACTGGGGTGTGAGCAGGTCAGGGCTTCCAGGGATGGCTGGAGGAGGAGCCACGGGGGGCCTCCTGTCATGCAGCCTGGAGGAGCCTTGCCCAACCTTAGAGTCACCGGCCCAAAAGGGGGACTCACACATAGGGGAGCCCCTCAGGAAGTCAACCTCTCACTTGAGAGGCCTCAGGCCGCAGAGTGGGGTCAGCAAAGGGAGGCCTGCACCCACCCACATCTCAGGGCGCCCCCTTTGGGGCCGTGGCGGGGGCACTGGGGATGCTTGGCCACCATTGGGGAGCCCTGGGAGCGGAGAGCAGTGCCAGGCACTCCCTGGGCGTTGCCCAGGAGGCTGAGGACATAGGTTAGAAGCTGGAACAGACATTGCCTGGGGGAGGACTTTGGCTTTAAGATGTGTGGCTCCAAACTGAAAAGACAGGTATCCTTGAACCGCCTGCAGCCACACCTGCAAATAACAGCAGTAGCTGCTAATACTTACTGCATGCTGGTTCCCCACAGGCATGATGGGACAGGCTGTGGTACAGGCATGTCAAACTCAAAGGCTTACATGGGCCAAATAAACAAGGTTTAGTGTAGGTGGGCCGCAGAGAAACGAAAGCTTCAATTTCCATAGAAACGTAGGTTTATTTCGATAGAGACATGCTGAATACAAAGGGCTGAAATAAATGAGTCATTGTTAACATAAAATAATAGAACATTTTAATAAAAATTAATATTTTTCACCCTAACTGGTTTGGCTCAGTGGATAGAGCATCAGCCTGCGGACTGAAGGGTCCCAGGTTCGATTCCAGTCAAGGGCATGTACCTTGGTTTCGGACACATCCCCAGTAGGGGGTGTGCAGGAGGCAACTGATCGATGTTTCTCTCTCATCGATGTTTCTAACTCTCTATCTCTCTCCCTTGCTCTCTGTAAAAAACCAATAAAATACATTTTTTACAAGAATATATTTTTCTTGAACATTAACTTACCAGACACTGAATAACTGCACAAACTAATAAGCGTAACGCAAATAAACTGATTTTTCTTGTTCTCCGAAAACAAAATATTTCCTGTTGCGCACACCAAACAAGTCAGTACAAGACTAATGACGTGGCAATTGGCTGCTAAAATATTCACTGCTAGTATTAGTGGAGAGAAAAGGGAAATGAATGCAACACGATTATAGTAATCAGTCATTAGCAAAAGTTGTAGTTCGTTATTAATAATTATGTATAGCCCTAGTCGGTTTGTCTCAGTGGCTATCGCTAGAGCATCGACCTGCAGACTTAAGGGTCCCAGGTTTGATTCTGGTCAAGGGCACATGCCCGGGTTGTGGGCTCAATCCCCAGTGGGGAGCGTGCAGGAAGCAGCTGGTCAATGATTCTCTCTCATCATTGATGTTTCTATCTCTCTCTCTCCCTTCCACTCTGAAATCAATAAAAGTATATGTGTTATAAAATAATTATGTATAACAGGATATTGTAAAAATTAAGTTACAAAATTTTTAATTAAAACATTTCTTATATACTGTTATATTGGCTGGGCCGAAAAAATATTCGTTGTGGCCGCTTGGGTTCTCGGGCCAAGAGTTTGACATACTTGCTGTAGTATGTTACTTTCCTTAATCCTCACCACCCTTGGGTAGATACTCTTTTCCCTGTTTGTGGATGAGGAAATGGAGTCATAGAAAGTTTAACTTACTGATGGTGTGAATTGAGGCACAAAAAAGGTTGTTCATCGTATCATTGTGGTCGCACGTATTGAAACAGCATCGATGTCCAGCAGGAGACTGGCTAAGTGTGTTAAGTGCTCACACGATGGACTTGCTGCCGTGAAGAACATGAGCCTGGGACAGGCTCTTAGGGAGCAGTGGGCAGAGTGGGGCCGTCTGCATGCCAGGGGGAGGGCCCGCATGCTCCACCAGCCTGGCCTCCGGAACAAGCGGAGAGGCCCAGACCCCAGGTGGGAGGGGCAGAAACTGACAGCCGGGGACCCCAGGGACACTGCGTCCACTAGAGCTGCCCTGAAGTTTACAACTTCAAATTCACCCAGAACTTCCACCAGCTTCCCTCACTCCTAACACGACAAATATCAATGGACAACAAATAACTGTCTGATATTTGAGAGAAATCTCTCACATAAAAGAGAGAGATTATAAACAGGAAAATAAAAGGAACGCAGGGGAGATAGAGACCGTGCAGGCTGCATGAGAAACTTCAAATAAACTTTTACCTTCAGGGCGATAACAAAAGACACCTCATCTGGAAGACAGGAAAAGGGCAGTGTCTTGAAAAACGCTCGGGGAAACAGGAGCTTGGAACTTCAAAGTATGATAACAGTGGAAATGAGCAATCTTGAAGATAAAGTTGAAAAATCCACATGAAAAAACAGAACAAAAAGATAAAAGCATGGAAAGATAAGAAAATCAGAGATTATTCCAGGAGGTCCGGAGAGGGAGAGAGAGAGGGGAAGGGAGGGGGAGAAATAGGGAGCAGGTGATCAAATGAACAATACAATGAAACTCCCCACTGGAGAAGATGAGCTTCCGGCTGAAAGGCGCAATGAGAGCCAAGCACATTGAAAGAAAAAAATAAAAAGACCAAAGATTGACACAAAAGCAGAAGTGATCAAATGAACAATACAATGAAACTCCCCAACTGGAGAAGATGAGCTTCCGGCTGAAAGGCACAATGAGAGCCAAGCATATTGAAAGAAAAAAAAATAAAAAGACCAAAGATTGACACAAAAGCAGATGGTGAAACTGCAGAGCCCCAGAAAGAAAGTGAAGACCCTGCAACCTTCCAGAGAGAGGAAAACAGGCCTCACACACGAGGGGTAAGGAATTTGGAATCGCATCGGAGTTCTTGTGGGGATTCTGAAACATGCCCACCAACATTCTACGGCCTCCCCCGGAAGCTGGGCGGGACCTGGGAGGGACAGTCTCCTCTTCTGCCCCCTTCTACCCACATGCAGGGGGCTCTGTGCCCATGTCTACCACATGCAGCGGCAGAGTCATGCATATACCAGAACTTGGTTTGTGACAGCCATGGCATTATGAACAAGTTCTTTAAGTAAAACTGATTTATCATATTGAGAAAAATTACTGGATCCTTACCTCACGCCATATACAACAAACTCCAGGTAGACGAGTAGTTCTCAACTGGGGGTGTAATCCCAGATTACATTTGGCAATGTCTAAGATATTTTTGTTATCACAACTTGTGGGGTGCTACTGGCACTTAGGCATCCTGCCGGACATCCTACAGTGCACAGGACAGCTGTCCAACAAGGAATGACACAGCCCCAAATGTTCACAGTGCAAGACCGAGAAACCCTGCAACAGGGTGCACGTACACGTGAAAGAGAGAAATAAAATACTACCAGAAAGAAATGTAAGAGATTTCTGTATGACCTTGGGCTGGGGATGAAGTTCTTAAACAAGGTCCCCAAGTGAATACATTTTACTACTTACCCAAACTAAGGATTTCTCTTGTACAGTGATGGTTATTGCTTATCAGGTGATCAGATAGAATGTAAACACAAAAGAAATATTTGCAACCACCTGTCGTTTTTAATGTTGGAGTTGGCATTCCCACTAATCTTTCAGAATCCTCTCAAAGTCACGAATACCACACACACACACACACACACACACACACACAAAACCCCAAAAAAACACACACACACTCCGTCTCTCATGAAGGTGGGAGACATGGGCTTCTATGCACGCCCCCTCCCCCTACACATTTATAAAGCGAAAGCTAGTGGGAGGTCAAAGATTTTGGGAACTAGAAACAACAGATTTAAAACGCTACAATAGGAAACGAGAGAAGGCGCCTTCCTTTCGATTGCTCTTGGGACATTTTCTGTCATAACCATCCATTATGCCTCAGAAAGTTTCAGAACTTCCCAGAGGGAGAGAGAAATCATCCAGACAACAGTCTCTCATTATAAGACCGTAAAACAACAAACATAAAACCAGGAAACAACAGACCCTAATGTCCACAGTTATAATAGTTACATTTGTAAATCTGTCTTAAAATGACTCATGCCAGAGAACAAATCAAAACCAAAACTGAAGAACTTCCAGCAAATCGTGGTGAAGAAGCACCACAGATGGGAAGCCATGGCCTGCTGGTCCCCATGACTCCAGTTGGTAATTACTCCCGGGATCTGACGGAAGGAGTTACAGCCTTCCCCGCCCCGGCCCATCTCCAAAATGGCTTGGCCATTCTTGGCCCTTCGTTTTTCCATCTAGATCAGCGGTTCTCAACCTGTGGGTCGAGACCCCTTTGGGGGTCGAACGACCTTTTCACAGGGGTCGCCTAAGACCATCGGAAAACACATATGTAATTACATATTGGTTTTTTTTTAATTTATGGAAAGTTATTTTTTATTTTTTTAATATATTTTATTGATTTGTTACAGAGAGGAAGGGAGAGAGATAGTTAGAAA